CTGCCCTGGGGAAGCAGGGAAGCTGCTTCTGTGGGGGCTCTGTATGTCCTGGCAGCAGGTTTAATTCTTCTAACTACACAAAGGTGTTTGCTGCACCTGTGAGAGGTGCTTAACCTGCTGTCTCTTATTCACCCTCCCCAGGAACCACTTTGATTTTGCTATGAATGAAAAATCAGCATGTCCACATAAATATTCAGCCCCACCTGCAGAGGCAGATAGTGAGGAGACATTGAAGGCAAGTCAGTGCAATTGACTTGTGAAAATCTGCTGTGAAACAAAACCCTAACACCTTTCCTTCTTCTCCTTCTTTTTCTTATCTTTCAGAAGAAGTCTCCAGTGTTATCCAGGTTGACAAATATTTAAAAATTTATATGAGGAATTTGGTTGCCCCTCATGAAAGAAAGAGTCCCACCTACGATTCACTTGTTTAAAATTCCGTGTTCTAACACAGTTATCAGCTTATATTTAAAGAGAAGAACCCACTCAAACCCCCACCTCTCCATGCAAAGCCTAATGAGAACTGAGATGACTTTTGTGACTGAGCAGGGCTCTGAGCCTCCATCAGCACCCCAGCTTTGCCCCTCCAAGAGTAACATTTTCACCTGTACAGTAATGACCACAGCTCAGCACTTTTCCACTGTGTCCCACAGACTGGCTTCCCAAGCATTTTCAGGGATCCATTATTTAATCAGAGCTTTTCCAGCAGCACAGGGATGCTCCTACATTAAACCTTACAGTTTTATCAGGGGCTGCCACCCAGCAGCAGAGAAGAACAAATAAATATCTCTTTCTATTTCAGGTTACAGATCAGTTGGGGCAAACAGTATAAGGAAATCCAGTTTTATCTTCTCAGTCTATTAAAAATTAACTGGGTCTAGAGGAAGGAAAAATACAATGTGCAGCTGACTCTGGGAGGGAAATAAAAAGCTGGTAAAATAGACAGTTCTAGAAATGTTAAAGGTGAGGGGAAGGAACAGGGACAATTGGGCTTTTGAGTAGAGAGCTAGCAAACTCAGCTGGGCAGATTTGCTTTGTTTCTGCACAGGTTCTGCACAGATTCACTTCCTCCTATCCCTTTTGTTTTACAAACTTGTATCACAAGGTCCCAGACTAACTGCCTAAAGTTGCAACCCAAATCTAAGCTATGTCCTTCCATTTCCTCAACACCTAAAGGACTTCTGTAGGGTTCAGCCACAGCTTTGTCCTCCCCAGGAGATAGAACACAGGTAGCAAAAAGTCATTTTGTGTTCTTCAGTCCACCCTACAGAAACCAGCCTGCCTCAGGCTGAGCTATGTTTGTTATTAAGGGCAAATAAATTCGAGATGGAGCCTTCAGTCAGAATTGTGCAGTAGCACAACTGCAGCTTTGTCTTCAGCTCATAGTTAGCAAAAAGGGCAGGAGAATGGCTCTGCCACAGCCTGAGCTGCTCCACACTCAGGCTCAGCCTTTGCTGGTCAATGAGCACAGCCTGCTGAGAGCCACCAGAACTACAGCCTCAGCCCTGAGCACGGGGCTCTGTAATTGCTGCGGCAGAATTCCTCCCACTTCAAGCATCAGAACCTGGAATTATTAGCCAGTGCAATTATTATCAGGAATTATCAGCCAGTGCAATTTCTTTCATCTTCTGCCCACTGGATTTTCACCACAAAAGCCTGCACTGCAAGTGGCATGAGTAAACTCTTCTACAGTCATTCTCATAATATATTTCATTTTATAAAGATTAGCACATAGAATATGATTCATTTTTCAGAGAAACAGCTTTTAGGGATTTTTAATAACCTGTTGTCCACAGCTCAGCTGGGAGGTGAGTGCTCAGCGCCGACTCATTACCACATGAAACACTGTGCTAGCCGAGAAGGACCAAGCCAAAGGTAAGATATAGGAAGAGGATTTACCTTTCCAATCACCTGCCAACAAACCTGGCAAGCCTACAGTTGTGGGATTGTAAAAGGACCAAGAAATAAAATGCTCAGCACTCATTTATGCAGTTCACTGGGGAACGGCCCTTCAGAGGTAGCAAAGAGGGAGAACTTTATCAATTTTTGGACGTTGGTTTAATCCAACTGTGTAAAGGAAACAGTGGAGAAACCAGCCCTCACTGGTGGGCAGCAGAAGTGGGAGGCAGCATGGCTGGAAGGAAACCACAGGGTTTGCTGTGGGGGTAGATTTGCTCTGGCTCTTGATTTGGCCCTGGCTTTGCTGATGTTTCTGCCCAAAGGCCCCACTGCCATTGCCCAGGCATGTCTCAGTTTTCTGGGTTTTTTTAATCCAAAAATCTTATTCCATTCTTCTACTATGCAACTTTATTTATTAAGAGATAATGTTAAGATAATTAATAATTTTAGGGGGACTAGTCTAAGGTTTGCAAGGTTTATGTACACATGCATGGCAGGTACCACCCCAAAGCCCTGGTAACTGTTAGTTTGCCCTGCTGAAATATGACATCATTTATACAGCAGAATCAGGGTATCTTGGAAAGGCTGAACAGCAAAGGAGGGATTTCTTCAGGACAGCATCAGGCTTATCTCCTTCTCTGTCTGTTGGGGTTCTCAGCAGCAGAAGGACCTGCAGCTGCTGGAGCAAGAGCAGAGGAGGCCTTGGAGATGCTCTGAGGGCTGGAGCCCCTCTGCTCTGCAGCCGAGCTGGGAGAGCTGGGGGTGCTCACCTGGAGAACACAAGGCTCTGGGGACACCTGAGAGCCCCTTCCTAAAGGGACTCCAGGAGAGCTGGGGAGGGACTTTGGACAAGGGCCTGGAGTGGCAGGACAAAGGAGAATGGCTCCCACTGCCAGAGGGCAGGGTGAGATGGGATATTGGGAAGCAATTCTTCCCTGTGAGGGCAGTGAGCCCCTGGCACAGGCTGCCCAGAGCAGCTGTGGCTGCCCCATCCCTGGAAGTGTCCAAGGCCAGGCTGGATGGAGCTTGGGGCAACCTGGGATAGTGCAAGGTGTCCCTGCCCATGGCAGGGCGTTGGAGCAAGATGGTTTTTGAGTTCCCTTCCAAACCAAACCAGTCTGTTATTCTGTGATTCAGTGATATCAGCCCGAACACTCCCGTTTTCCTGCTGAGCAATTGCTTAGTCCGTCAGAAGACCTTGAAGGGTTTTCTTACACAGCCACTTAAGTTACTACTGACACTAAAGGGGAAAATGGGGACCTCACACCCCACACCCTGTGCAAAAGAAAGGAATCAGCATTTCCCAGTTCAACCCACCTGGCTCCCCTCCATCTTCATGCCCCCTTGCCACTACAGGGAAGGAAATGGTGCAACTGCAGCTCCCAGTGCTGTGCAATGCCAGGGGTTGTTCCATATCCTTCTGTTACTGGGTGCTAAGTGGCCAATTCGTGTCTTTCACAACTGCACTTACCAACGGTTAAACCAACAGCTGGAGCCCAGCACAAGAACCCCTCCAGCTTCAGCTCTGAGCTTCCTCAAGCCCCGGGTGAGAGGTCTGCACCTGCCAGCTCACCCAGGAAAGATGGGCAAGGCACCGAGACATCCCAAATGCATCATCCTACACTTGAAAGCTGTTTTATTAGGAGTACTTTACCACAAGTGCATTAAATACATTGCAGTAGCAATGGCATTTTGATGTGTTTTTGAAAGACCAGCGCAAGATACAATGTTGTTAGGATCTCTTACAGAGAAGAAATAAAAATAAATGCTCACAGTTATGAGCAATTTGGAGTCAGCCCTGCACTCAGGAGAGATGGGAAAAAAATTGCAAAGAGCAGGCAGCTTAGAGTCATTTTACAAAGCACCAGACTGCAAAACAGGACTCAAGCAAAACCTTCTTCAGTGTCTGTGCATCTGTAACACCTCCCCTTCCTGAGCCTACCAGCTTGGCTGGCTTTACACTAATCCTTTCCTTCACCAGACTTTGTAGAGCAGATTGAAGTTCTGCAATTCTTTCCTTGGTAAAATATGAGCATGTGAGTTCACAGGAGTCTATAAAAATCAGTTTTTCAAGGCAGGTCTGCCCCAGGCTAAAATTATCTAATGAGGTATTTAAAATTCTCCCACTGCAAACTGAAATAAATCACAAATCAAATCTAGTTCAGAGAGATCATTATTGCAGAAATCCCACTGGACACCCCTCAAATGGGAATGGCCAGGCATCCTCTGAAAAAAAAATCTTTATTTTTAAATGGTTTTGATTGCAGTAGGGAAAAAGCTTCCAGCAGCCAGTACTGAGCTAGCCAAGCCCAGAAACACTTTACAGCCTCTCTGCTATGAAATCCTCATTTAAAATGCCACCCATACCACCTCCCCTGCTGACTCCTGCTGTTAAGGAGAGCTGAGAGGCTTTGCAGAGAGCTTGTGTCAAATGAAGGAGAGTAGGAATGAATGTTGTTTCTGGCAAGGATCATACAAAGCCGCACATCCCATCTTTCAGTTCGGGGATAAGCAGCACTCCCAAACCCTGAATGCCCACTGAGAGCCCTTACCAGCACATTGTGTCATTTATCAGCCAAGACTCCATTATATGAAGCAAATTACAACAAAAGCCCCATCCAAACTGGACTGAAGGGACATAACTTTTACATAAATATCTGTTTGGTGGTTATGAGTGTAGAAACCAGCAGCTCTTCCTGGCAGGATGGAGAAGAAAGCAGCAGGGATAAAACCAGCCAAGCCACTTGTCGTAACCCCAGGGAGGGCTAAAAGATTGCTTGGGGATTAAATATTGGCTGTAAAGAAAAGCTTGGAAACACAAGTGAAAAATTTGTCTCCAACTGCTTGTTCCATGGTGGTTTTCAGAAAACAAAATGTACAGATGCTTTTGCAAACTAGAAGTGGGGCAGACATACATCTGTTTCTTCTCTGAATAAAATCTGTTGGACGTCCAGAGGTTTCTGTAACTTGAAATACCAAATAATTTTTGTAAAAGCACCATGACTCATTTAAATTTCATATTATCCAAGACATGTCTGTAAAGAAAATCTAACACTTTTCTGTAAGTAGTGCAGAAAAATCAAACTGAAGGATTACCAGAGACACAAAGTACAATTAATTTATTATTTATAGTACAATAGCTGAAACCAAGAAGGCACTAAAGGCATCACTTTAAAAACTAGAATTACTGAACTCCAGGCCAGTTTTACCCATGCAACATGGGTTTGCAACTGTTGTTTCAGAACTTGAAGATGTTTTAATAAGTATTGCTCTGTTAAAAACCCAGGGTTTCAGTGAACACACTTCATGGATTTAAGTGAAATAAATTACAATATCAGCTCAACCAGAAAAAAGAAATGTTTTAATGCAAAAGCATCACATAAGTGAATACTCGTTAACGACAAACATTTCCTGTGTTCTTGGTCACAAAGCTCTGGTGGGCACAAACACACAGGGAGAAATGAGCAGCAGAGGACAAATTGGTGACATCCACTCTGGAGCTTTGACCACCGTTTCCCTTCAGCTCAATCCTCTGAACCACATTTGTGGTTCCTACCATTTTTGGCCTAAATGTGACCTTACTCCAGGAAGGGGAAGAAAAGGTGTTAAGAAACAGCTCAACCAGAGTTTCCTGAAATGTGGGGTCATTTCCATATCTTGCTATTAAGAGCCCAATTATTTTATCCATCTTTCCCAACCAGCTTTAACAACTGCCAGAGCCTGCAGACCACCACAGTTCCCAATATGGCAACACCACTTGCCTGGAGCTGTAATACTTTGCTTGAGACTGATTGGCCAAGACAACAGACTTGGGCTTTCAAAAGCACATAAATACCTCAGGTGGCAGCTGTTCAACGTCTTTGACTGGATCAAAGAACGGGTGACACGGCCCCAAAATGGCAGCCTTCAGTCTGGTCACTCTGGTCAGCTTGGTGTCCACTGGTGAGTTGAGATTGCTGTAATGCAGCTGGGCTTGACTGGGTTTAGGCAGACAATAATGAATTATTGAAATTCACTTGAACATAAATAATGCTGAGTTTTTTTCCCTCTAGTTTTATGAGGAATGATGGTAATGTGGACAGTTATGACTATTATAAAATATGGAATTAGGTGTGCATTAAGAGACATATATTGAAGTAGTTGGAGGTTTCAGAAAGAATCATAAAATCATTAAGGTTTGAAAAGACCTCTAAGATCATGAAGTCCAACCATCAACCCAGCACCATTAGAAAGTAAAAATAATTTATTTCACAAACTATTTTTAAACATCTTTATCTATAGCTTTGCTTTCTTTTTGGTTTATATACCTTAAGGTAAGACATCAGGGAAAAATGGATCAAGTCTATACAGCAGGTTGTATACTACAGTTTCTGAAATGACAAACTCCTTGGAGCTCATGTCTTTCACTTTAAACACCCCATTGTGTCCCTGAATACTTTCTGTTGCACTGGACTCAGAACATGGTTGAATTTTTCCTGTTTTTCCTCTTTTCCATGTGAAGTTTTCAGCAAGCAGCTGGATGCACACCCGCCCCAACAGCAGCACCGGCACTGGGCTCAGATCTGCAGCGGGAACCCCACCAACCGCATCCGCGGCTGCGACCGATACGGCTGCGGGAATTTCGGCGCTGACAGGTAACACGGCTGCCTGGCCACCGGGGCCGCCTTGCTGTCCTGAATTAAATGTTCAGGCAGGAGAAAGTACAGTTACACAGAGCTGACACTCAGAATGAGAGAATACTGTTGTCTGCAGGACCTCTTACTGATTTTTGGTATATTCTCGGCAATCTTACAGAAGCACAGTGATGCCACTGCTGACAACAGATGCAGGGGTGAAGGAGCAGGAGTGTACATGAATGACAGACAAAGTACAGGAAATGGAAGTATTTCAAGGATTTGTGCCATTTACCCTTGTTGCTTATATTCCAGAAATTTAACCAACACTCAGCAACAGTTTACAGGAAGCTGAGAAAATGTTTTTATATGTAGAATGCATTTTCTTGACATCTCCCCAGACTCTAAAAGTGTCTATCTTCATCATGCAGCTTCCAAATTTGTAAGTGAGAAAATGCCAGCCAAGATTCTATTTTACATGGTACAGACTTTTTTGGGGATAAAATGGTACTTTTCTCTAACAGTTTGAAGTATCCCATGAACTTGGGAAAATAAAAAAAATGCTTAAATTTGAAATTTTATCCTACTGTGAAGAAGGCCAGACTAATGTGAACAATTTACAACAACAACAACAAAAAAAAAAAAAAGATGCTTCAAACCTGCTACTTCTGTCCAATTTCATTGCAGGTAAAAAATTTTTGTTAGACAAGCTCCAGCTATCATCCTGCATTAAGTGACCAATTGAAACTTAACATTAACCTTGAGTGATGTCCCTAATTATGTATTTCTGCCTCCAGGAAGAGTAGCAAAGAAAAGCATATGGGTGTGGATGTAATCTGCTCTGATGGAGCCACGGTGTACGCTCCCTTCAGCGGGCAGCTCTCGGGACCCATCCGGTTCTTCCATAATGGAAATGCCATTGATGATGGAGTCCAGATCATGGGAGAAGGCAAGTAATTAACAGCAGGTGTGCTGTGAGGTGTACACAAGTAATCATTTCATTTACTTGAGTGAGGTTTCTGTGGTTCTTCAACTCAGGCACAATGTTGATTAATCTTACATCCTCTCTAGTACATTCAAATATTGGAAGACAGCACCAGCAGGATGTAGTCCTTTCCTATGCTTTTCTTGGAGAGGAGGGAAGAAAGGAGTTGAAAAACAGGTAGCAGGAAAATAACAACCCCAAATCAAAAAAATAGGAAACGGTAAAAATAAAGCAACGGAAATATATCCTCAGTTTTGCTGAGAGGATGTTTTCCTGGCTCTATTTTCCAACACCCTTTTTTCCTTTTTGCCCTGACAAATATAGTAATTTTGATTTCACCATTGTTGGTACCTTGACTACATTTCTGCTTCATCCTAATACTCTCCAGTAAGAGGCTGGCAGAGAATGCTTCTTTCTCACCCCAGGAGAAGATGCAGCTGATGTTTCCTGACCCCGCTTCCTCTCCCGTCTCTCCCAGGTTACTGTGTGAAGCTCGTCTGCATTCACCCCGTCCGGTACCATGGCCGAATCAACAGAGGGCAACGACTGGGGCAAATGCTGCCAATGCAAAAAGTATATCCTGGCATTATTTCTCATATCCACGTTGAGAACTGCGACCACTCTGATCCTACTCATCTGCTAACACCTGGTAAAAAAAACCTTAACAACAGAAAAGGCAACTCAGAACAAGAGTAGATTTGTACTCTAAGACCTGTGATACTATTTTTGAATTTTTGTATTTAAAGCATGTAGAAATATTAGCTTAGGTCTACATTACATTTACATTTCCTAAAGGATTACAAATTTTATGGAGAAAAATCCAACTAGAAGCATGGGATGTAACATCAGTATGTTCTTACCTAACTGTAAATTAAACATAGTAGTTGCAAACATGCAAGTGATAAAACAATCTAGAACTTTGATGTGCTGTGTTCCTGTGTTTCAAAGCTGTTCCACCATTGCCACAACGGGATGGGCGCTGGGCTGCAGTGTGTGCTGGGAACCCTACCAACGAGATAAGAGGCTGTGATAAGTATGGCTGTGGATACTACGGAGCTCCAAGGTAATATATAACTGGAACATGTGGGGTTTTGTTCTATTTCCACTGAAGTAAGAATTAAACTTTGTTTAGGTCACATAAAAATTACAGCCTTGAAGGCTTAGATTGGACATGAGAAACTTTTAGGCTGCCCATGTTGTTCATAACACCTCTCTGCTTGGAGCTTTTTATCACAATAAGCCATGCCTGACCTCACCTAGTGTTGTGAACACTCATGACTCAAGCAGAGAGTTGGACTTGATGTCCTTCACACAACGAACCTTTCTGTGACTCTATGGTTTTATTACTCTGTGGTCTTTATTTAAAGACCTGGAAGAAAGGCATTTTTCTCCAACAGGGCATCATCCTACATGACATTGCTTCACCTACACCTTTTCAGATCCTTCAGCCAGTTTGCTGAGACAGTTTCTGTCCTAACAGCCCCTTTCCAGATCTCACCATGTGCTGCCTAACCTCTCTCTGCAGCACTGGGCCTGACCAGAGGTTTCTATAAAGATGAGTTTGTTTTCAGGCGCAATGGCAAAGGGAAGCACCGGGCAGTGGATGTCATCTGTGCTGATGGGGCCACCGTGTACGCTCCCTTCTCTGGCCAGCTCTCCGGGCCTATTAAATTCTTCCACAATGGAAATGCCATTGATGATGGAGTCCAGATCAGGGGACCAGGTAAACAGCTGTCATTTAACATTTATTTACCTTGAGCTCATATAGGATGCATTACCTTGCAGTTAGCCAAGTAGTTTAGCCATTTTCTTCCACTTACATACAGAACTTTTTGCTCCTGCTACAATGCAAATAACTGACTTCTGCAGAATGTCTTCAAGCTTTTCCCTTTCCTACAGCTCAAATTCCCACCTTCTCCTTGCCTTCCCTCTTCTACCATGTCAATCACTCCAACCACTACCTAATTTTTATGATCACAGTATTTCTGCTATTTTGTTATTTCCACTATTGCTATCTCAGTGGAAAAGACAAGACAGATATTGTTAATATTTCTGAAATGTAGTACAGAAGAACAAATGCTTCATCATTCATCTGAGGTTTTCCCTCTTGTTTTTTCACCAGAGTTCTGTGTGAAACTACTCTGTATCCATCCCGTAAGATACAGTGGTGCAATTTCCAAGGGACAAGTCCTTGGGAAAATGTTGCCGATGCAAAGAGTATTTCCTGGGATCACATCTCATATTCACATTGAGAACTGCGACCACTCGGATCCTACAAGCAATCTTGAAAGGGGGAAAGGGCAAAGAGATTGAAATGGAAACACAGTAAATTCCAAATAAATCCATCTCAGCATCCAAAACTTGTTTTTCTTCCCATGCACACTTCATGCTATCACCTATCAATACTTTGAGCCTTACACCAAGCAGTGTCTGTTGGATGGCAACAGAAAACAAAAAAACACAAAACAAAAAAAGATTTGAGTTTTTGTTGGAATTCGCATTTACCAGAGAATCAGGATATTAGCAATGACTAGCTATAAGCTTTCTCCAAGTCTGAAAATCAGCTAAAATGTGAAGTGCTCACTCCCTCCTGTGGCAGAGAAGGTGCATTCCTGTCAGCTTCTTCCCCGAGCACCAGCTGGCCTCATTTGTTCAGATCAGGGAAAAGAACAAATAAATACTCTATTCCCAACATTCATCAATGCAGGCCAATTTAACTGGACACTTGCTGACATTCGACAGCCACATTTGATTACCTTAAAGGTCTTTTCCAACCTCAGTGATTGTGTGATTCGTGGCTTCACAGAAACAGTGCCTGTGTGAAAGGGACAATATTCAAAGCAGCCTTTTAAGTTTCCCCCTGAACTGTAACTCTGTCACCAGTGTTTATAAATACACTAACATTGTTCTGTTGGCTAGAGGGAGGACTCCAGGACTTCCCAACAATTCACAAGCTTTGTCCACACTCCATTTTACAGTCTGCATGTCAGGTTTCAGGCATAAAAGTGAAATGACAATGGCTACTTTGCCATTCTGCAGTCTCTCCCAAGGCTTTTCTCATACATTGCTTCTAGCAGGAGAGGACCCCAAGAGGACACAGTGCAACAGATGGATGAGTCTAGTGCATGGATTAAACCACTTTATTACACTTCCATTTGAAGCAAATAACACATATTGAACCAAATACTGTTTGGAAATATTTCAATTTCACATTTATAGTCTCCTAGATTATGAAAGTGTTCAGCTCACAGGCTCCACTAACCAGTCAGACAGATGCTTCTTAACTGTGCAAGAGGCAATAAAGCATTACTGACTCAGGGGTGTTACCTTGAATCCCTGGGCTTCCAGCTGGGAACAAGGAGAAAAGGGTGGTTTAACCCTTTAGCTGTTGTTTTGTGGAAGTGGGGGAGAAACTCCCTTATTCTCTGCTGTGAATGCACTGGTTCTGGCTGGGGTAGTTCATTTGCTTCCCAGGAGCTAGAATGGAGCTGTGGATTTGTACTGCAGACAGCACTGGGGATGTTTTTGCTGCAGCTGAGCAGTGCTCACAGAGCCCAGCCCTGCTCTGGACTGCCCCAGCAGGCAGGAGGCCGGGAGGCACAGCCTGGGAGGTGACACAGACAGGACAGCTGATCCAAGGGACATTCCATCCTGTATGACATCAGGCTCAGCCTACAGAGCTGGGGAAGGTGCAGGAAGTGGGGTGTTTATGGGTGATGGAGCCCTATTTCCCCGGACATGGCAGATGGAAGTGGTGAATGGATTCCCTTTTTGGGGGATGCTGCCTGTGTGACTATTAAATTCTTTATATCCAGCCATGAGTTTTCTCACTTTCACCTGATTCTCCACCCTATCCCTCTGGCTGTGAGGGGCTCAGCTGACAGCCAGGGTTAAGCCATGACAGTAACAACCACTGCCAGCAAATTCTCGTAGATTTATCATGAACAGGAAGATGCAAGAAGAGTGGCACCAAAATAATTACAGCAAAAATTTATATACAATGCATTAAAGTTTACAGTATGCAAAATGTTAACACAAAAATACATACTCTAATTTACATCAACTCACCATGCCTTTCTCCTTTTAAGAAAATAAATATAATACAATCTGTCTCAAAAAACAATTAATAGCAACAAGTATTAAACAGTCCTGAATTAAATATTTCAGGATTACCTTCAGCAAGTCTTTCTCTAGAAATCAGGGCTTACACAAAGCTCTGGAAGAAACAGGTGAGATTACTACTGTCCATTTAGTCCTCTAAGTGACAATTTTAAGTGCTATAAATTCTTGATTCCAAATAGAAATGGATCAAAGACAATTGTATTGCATTTGATCTTTCCTTTTTACTAGCTACATTTATGAAGTCTTATTTCTTAGCAAGGAAAGCGTGGAACAGCATTCAGACATTAGTCTTTGATTACAAAGACTTGAGTCCAAATCCAAAGCTATTCCTTACTGTCCTGACAGTTTCCAAAGTGCTTAATTATTCACTCCAGCAATCAATCTAGAGCCAAACTTATAATCAGTAATTTTAACAAAATCTCTTTCTCATCCTTTTAAGACATAAGACAAAAACAACATACTGTACAATGCATTCCCTAGTTTTGTCATCTGACAAAATTACTTAAAGTGCAATTTAAAGCTGGAAATTTTTTTCTAAGCATAAGCTTATTAACATTTTATTATACTGCCATGAATTTAAGCTAGATTATACCTCATTAACCCGGGATAATGTATTTTAATATACAGGCTTTTACAATTTAAACATGAATTATTTTAAAAAATAGCTATTAAAACATCATGACAAATGATACTGTACTCAAAGTTCTAACCAGCTTTCCATAGATAGATTTCCTAAAGGAAAATAGTTTCTCTTCTGACTAGATCAAAAGAGTAAACAAAGACACAAAAAAACCTTCCAAAAATGCAAACCCACTTTAAAGTAAATGGAATGCTTAAACTGAAGCTCAGAGAAGGCCAAATTCACTGAAGTTTGAAGCACCTGTAAACCACAGACATACTTTCAGAGCTGTTAAGTACACTTAAATCTATTTTCTATTTCAATATATAATTAATATTTTAGAGTGTTTTGCTTTTAGTCTAATAGAGGTTTTCTCAAGGAAGAAAAACTTAAATCTGGAAGAAAGTTTTCACATTTGATTTTTATATTTTTTATTTGCATAGAAAGCAACACTCCGATGCCACCATTTTATCCACACAGAGAATTTACCACGTCGGCATCATATCAGGAAACCACATTCTTCCCAGGTGTTTGGAGACCTCCAGATGAAGCCGATCTAAGCTGTAATCACTGTCTGGAATCAGCACCTCCTCCATGATGGAAAGCTGAGTAAGCCTGCCCCCACACATCTTTACAAATTCAATAAAACCTCTGCAGGTGACTTCACACTCCCCCAGCCCCATGGCCGTTAAGTTCTTGCAGCGCTCAGCAATCTGGATCAGTTCATCATCCAAAGGTTGAAGTCCATTGGCGCACACGACCAGCTCGATCAGCCTGGGGCAGTTCATGCCAATGCGACCCAGCATTGCCTTGCTCACTGCACGACCAAAGTACAAGTGTGTAACAGGTGTTTCCTCTCTGAAGAAAGCATCAAATTCATCTTCATACAAGAAGAAATACATCACAATGTTGACTTTGGGGGAGTGTTTAACAAGAGCATCCCAGCTTTGCTTTTTAATGGTGTGAAACTGAACTTGTCCGGGATTCTCACTCACGACGTCAATGCGAAGGTGCTCGAGATCAACGTGTTTTTCACTTGAAAGAGCCAGCAGCAGTTCATCACTTAGTATGTAGTAGTTCAAAGCCAGCTCCTTAAGTCCATGACACTGATCGGCCACACAAAGAATGCCTGAGGAACAAAAAAGTTTACTCTCTAAAATGAAAAGTGAATATAAGCATATAAGCATAGCTGTTCTCTGTAAAGCTGGCTTGAATTTTCATGCTTA